GCTTCACAGAATATTTCATTGTAATCTAGGCCTAGAGAGAAGCATACACTTAAAAGCAGAAAGTCAAAGGGAAGTGAAATCTTAACTCAGGTGAGGCAATGATCTCGCACCTGAATCTGCCTGTGACGCTTCTACCTTATCCTCCTATAGGCACAGAGCCTTCTGCTGCGTTATTAGTCTCCACCCCCTGCCGTCGTAACAAAAGGTCTTCCACTGATGTTCCCCATTCCAGTGAATCGGCACCCAGCCTTTGTGCCGAGGGATGTGAAGTCTCTGAGTCAACCAAAAGCACAAGTAAGAAGATGATCAGCAAAGAAAAGACTGGTAAGTCAGTTTTGTTTGCATTTCTTGCAAGGGTTTTATTATCCCACCTTATCCTGCCAGGAGCCCATGAACTTAAATTCTGTTTAGAATATGATTTGCTCAAAATTATACTGAGAATGGTGGCTCGTCAGAGACTGAATTTTATATTCATTTTAAATTAATTTGGATAGTCTTTTAAATGTCTATATTCAGTTTCCAGCCTACAGCGATGACAAAAAACACATCTCTGATTCAGAATTTAACCCTTAAAACCAACCTCATTCATTTAAAAAGAAGGGGAAAAATATACTGTAAAAATGAATTGCCAGGCACGCTTCAACATTCCATTACACGTATGCATGTGTATAAATTGATTAAAACAAACAAAAAAGGATAATATTAAATAAGCGGAATAGAACATTAGCAAAAACATAATTTGTTAATAACAAAATAGAAAACTCATAATAAGCTGTGGTATTAAACACGTAGGTGGCTCTCAGGTTCAAGGTTCTATTCATTATGCCACAAGAACTTGATGGGAAAATGTTCACAGAGAATGTAGGCAAGGGAATTCAAGCTGTCATTAGAAAAGGTCTACATCAGCGGTGTCAAACTCGATTTCATTGAGGGTTGCATCAGGGTTGTGTTTGATCTTGGGGGCTGGGTGGGCATGGCCAGCTCAACTTCACTCGTATCGGGGACGCCTGTGGTGGCCTCAGTGCTCTGCCAGCGAAAACGGAACTTGGGCGGCTACGACAGCCTCCTGCATCCCTCTGCCAATGAAAATGAAACTCCCGAGCCATCGCAGCCACCCAAGTTCCATCCTTCTCTGTTCTTGCGGGCCAGATCTAAGCACCTCGCGGCTGGCCCCTGGGCCTGTAGTTTGACACCCCTGGTCTAGATCACATTTAAGATAAAAATAATCAATTACAAGGAAGACCATATTTACGCAAGTCCCTGTAAATTGTTCGCTAGCATCTCTCTGTTTTTCAAATTACAACAGCCTTTGACCAACCTCTTTTGATAACTCTTCACAATCATTCCTTTGCCCTCCTATTTTGGCTACTTCAGAAGCTGCTTTTCTATACATTTTCACTGATTTCAGCTTGGATTCAGGGACTGGATTTGATAACATACCGGTGCACCAGACAGACTTGGCTAATTGCTCATATCATTAAGAAAAAGTGAAAACCATTTAAAGTGAAGGCAATACATCCTGTGTTGGCCATTTAAGATATCCTAGGGAGTTGGAATAATCTGTAGTAAAATGTAGAATTCTTGGTTTAAATAGCTATTTTTCTATCCCCCCCCTCTCCCCCCCCCTCCCTCCCTCTCTCTCTCTCTCACACACACACTCACACACACATGTACACACACACACACACACACACACACACACA